CGTGATCCACGTGGGACAAAAACCAATACATACCTGTATAGGGTAATTCAATACCTACACAGCGGTGTATAAATGTACATGTTACACTAATGGTAAGACATACAATTTGCCATTTAAATACACGCAGTCAATGACCACTGTAATAAAAATGGTTGGTAGAAGCGTAGACAAAAAAGATGAAATACGGGCTTACATCATGTACATCAAAGCTCGCTCAAAACTTTGTTGCTCTTTGAAGAAGTTGATGTCTGAACTCTCTACTGCTTATGGGCCTTCTTTTGTTTAATTATTGTTCATTTAAAATTTAAAAGAGAAAAACCAAGACAGAAATATCAATAATAATATTTAATTAGGTTAATAAATGATCACGAATTATCACTAGATAACTGCAAAATTGGTCAACACTAATAAACTATAGAATGATATATTAATCAATCCACAAAGAATTACTAATCATTATAAATATTTACCAAAACGCAGTACTAAAATAACTAAATGCAATAAAAACTTATTGCTAAACCAAATGGGCTAGGGTGGGTGGGCAAAAAAGACTAGAACGTGATCTCGACTACAAAATAAGTAACAGAATGGCGAGCAAAAGCAAAATAACCTATATATAGGTAATTAAACAACCTATCAAATTCAATAACAGAAATTTGAAATAATCCAATCAGCAATCTGAAAAATAAACCGTTTTTATTTGCTTATTGTCCTCTTTCTCGTGATCCACGTGGGACAAAAACCAATACATACCTGTATAGGGTAATTCAATACCTACACAGCGGTGTATAAATGTACATGTTACACTAATGGTAAGACACACAATTTGCCATTTAAATACACGCAGTCAATGACCACTGTAGTAAAAATGGTTGGTAGAAGCGTAGACAAAAAAGATGAAATACGGGCTTACATCATGTACATCAAAGCTCGCTCAAAACTTTGTTGCTCTTTGAAGAAGTTGATGTCTGAACTCTCTACTGCTTATGGGCCTTCTTTTGTTTTATGACACAGTAAGGCGATGGAAAAAGAAATATGAGCCTGGTGTAGAGTGCATCAAAAGTGCACCAAAATCAGGTATTTGCATCTCGTAGCGAAATCGTTACCAAAATAATTGATATCATTGAAGGAGATGCCATATTTATAGTTCGTGATTTTGCACGAAAGATAGGTATATCAATATCAACGTTTCACTTTATTTTGAAGAAGCATTTGAAAGTCAGAATGATTTCTGGTAGATGGGTGCCACATCTGTTGACCGATGAGCAAAAGAGGCAACGGGTTAAGGTGGCAAAAAAGCTGCTTCAAATGTTTCCAAAATATGACAAAAAAAAAACTGTTTGCCAATGTCGTCACAGGTGATGAAACTTAAGTCCATTATTTTGAGCCCGTCAACAAAACCTGGGACACTAAACACAACAAACGCCCAATAATTGCCAAGAAAGTGCAAAGAAGGTGTTTTATGTTATTTTCCTCTCTGGTGAAGGAGTCCGCAATAAAAGTGCCTTTGAACAAGGGCAAAAGTATCACTGGGAAGTACTACAAAGACGTAGTACTTAAGAAACTAAAAAAGTATTATAAGAAACGACGCCCTGTCAGTGGTTTTAAGCATATCCGTCTTCTACATGACAATGCCCCCGCTCATACCTCCGCAATAGTTTCGGCGTTTTGAAAAAAAAAAGAAATTGTTTTGCCTCAGCCCCCCCCCCCCGTATTTCCCCGTATTCTGCCATTCATCAGTACCTTAATACTGTGCCTTAATCAGCGTACCGTGACGCCTTCAAGAAGTGGATACATCAGCTGAAACTTTGCATTTCTAGCCACAGGAGGTACTTCGAGGGCATGGGATAAAAACTTTTGAGCTAACTTGAAATTTGAAGTCTCCAGATAGAAATAACCAATACATTTCGAACATCCCTCGTACACTGAAATTCATAAATAATTTTTATTTACAGTGTTACTTCCGAATTCCGGAATTTCTGAAATCCGGAAACTTCTGTAATATGAGCCTTTGTCCGGGTCCCGAATGATTTCCTTCTGTTTTCTTAGTAACTGTAATTAATACTTCCGCATTACGGAACTTTTCATTTCAGATTTCCGAACGATTTTCTGGTAAAATTTGGGTAATATCAATTTAGATTTAATTCCAAAATCCAGAAAGAGGTTTAAAAGGAATATGATACTTTTGATTAAAATACCTTTAAAATGCCATAATCTTCAAGTTAGCAGTAACTTTTTATCTTGACACGCATTAGAATGACAAAACCTATCGACCATGTCAAACACTTGAAATTAAGACACTGAGAAGTATAATGTGATAAAAAAAAACAAGAAGTATCTTTTAAAGATTCTCGGACTTAACTTGCATGATGTCTTTCAGTATGCATATTTTTTTTTCTCCCGGGAACGTGGACGTAATCGGAAGTCTCGCCATTTTAGAATGTCATTATAACTCGGTAAAATGCTATGCTGAAAATGATATCCGCGAAATAATTAATGAAAAAAATCATAAATCTGGAATCTGGAATCAAAGTGATCCCTCGGAAGCATTAATCACAACAAAATTACATAATAATTGCAGACTCGATTTGATTGAGTCTGTACATGAGGGATAATGAATAAGTGCAACACCCCTAACACCCCCTAGCACCGGCTTGAGCGGTACTCAATTCTCATCACTTAATAGTGCTGGCATCAATGATCCCGAAGGACCAGAAAAATATATCAACACTGAAGTGAAGTACGGGGCAACTTTTTACAGCTGCCACACGGCACTTGACACCTGCTGTTGTGAAGTATAAAGCCGTTTAAACTTTTTATTGGGAGGGAATTCACAAATTTCAAATATCAGATGAATTTAATCGGAAAGTTTGTTTCCAATACCCCTTTAGATTATTTTATAATTTGGATGTGTAAACGATTCCGACAGACGATTATTATACTATTTTTTAATGGCCAATGAGATACCAGGATATTAGTTTGAAATCTTAAAATGACCAATGAAAATCCTTCATATATTCAGTTTTCCCTCTAAATTTTACGGGAATGCAAACGGATCTCAGACAGACCTCGTCCAAAGATAATTAAGGTAGTAAATGAAATATAATTAAAGATAAATTGTTATAATTTACATTAATTAAGCTATTGCATAACAAATTCAGTCATGGGTAATAAGGAATTTTCAAACATTTATTAACTTTTTAAAAGTCCAAAAAATTGTGCCATTTTAAGAATTTAATCAGCTTCAGTTCATCATGTCTTACTAAAACAATTGATGTTTCTATTTGTTTAGATAATTCCGAACTTCTGAATTCCGGACACCTCCAAATTCCGAACTTTTTGGTTAGTCCCTCAGGTGTTCGGTTTTCAAAAGTTACACTGTACATAAATATATTTTATAGGAAAAGTAAAGGGTAAGGGGTATTTATACTAGTTTCTTTTAGTGTGAAACTCCATGGAAAATAGCTCAGAAAGTGGCCAATAAGTATTGCCTTATAGGCATTTACACAGTTAGAAAGGATATGTGAAAGTGGTCGTTTTGTTACATTAAATTATATAGGAAACTATGTTTGAAAGTTTGTTCAGCAGCTACAGAAACTATTTAGCATCAAGTAGTGCCTGTGGAAGGAAATATAAATCAAGGTCATATATCAAAAATTTCTTTGGCATTTTCTAGCAACGAATATCAAGTGAGTAGCCCTCGTGCCATCTTTATTATCTGTATGGGAATGAGCTAGACGAGAGCGCAGACATTTTAAAAACCTGTTACATGATCGAAAATATGTGCCGCAATCTCATGAATCTGCGGTCCCGTTCACGATTTCCTATGATTTTAATGACATGCCAAAATATGTTGTTTTTTTTCGAATTTGTTTCTAAAGAAAAGATAATTGTTATTTTCCCGGAGACTTTAAATGTAATTTGGTGTTAGGAGGCACTGTCTCTGACTAGGCAAGTATTGCAACTCATGAAAAAGATTTACAGAGGAAATGCTTCCCTACACCAAATGACATTCAGGGAAAAGTCAAAAAAGGTTTTTCAATAGGTAGTTCATGCACCAGACGGAACATTTTTACACAGAACACAATATCACAAGTTCCTATCCCCAATCTAAATGGATTCGGATTTTCTTTAAGTCTGAATATTGGTACAGTCCAGTGACCCTTGTTTTTTTCTACTTTCACAACTGTTCTTTATTTGGAAAAACACACACTTTTTCTACAAAAGTGTGCATTATCTGAGATATCAAACTGTGCATTATTGACAGTTAGACATGCTACGAGCGTATAACTGTTTAGGATCATCAACGAAAAAACGCCACACCATGCAATAATAGATATATAAAGTGTGAAAATGGTCAAATGATAATTGAACAAACATGAGGGAGTTAATCTAAAAGTCTGTTCTAGTTTTAGCTATGGCAGGTCCCACTTAAAAAAACTAAATTACATACATATAATAAAATGATAGGATAATGTTCTGAATTGTCAACACCGCAATTGTCAATTTTCCAACCAGTCCATACAAATTTATGGCGAACAAACCTGTTTCACAATGTTTTCCAGTAAAACCTTTTGGACAAACACATGTAAACCTGTTTTTATCATCTTTACATGTGCCGCCGTTTTCACATGGATCGGATGCGCATTCATCGATTTCTTAAAAAAGACAAAAATATAACAAACACTGTTTAACAAGTATTATAATGCTATTTTCGCGACATTTCGTGCAAAAATGAAATTATATACATTTCGCTGAGGTCACAAAAATGTGAACGTCACAAGTCAAAAATCGGTAAAGCCCAACATGATTCTACGCAGAGTAGCTTTAGAAGTAAAGAAAAAATATAAGATGGAAAAGCAAACGTAAGATTCATTTGTTATATTCCTTAAGTTAAAAGCATATACAGCGGCTTACGTTTATATTTATAAACGAAATCGCCTACAAAGAGAACAGTTCTGTAACGGCTTGTATACATTTAAATAAAGACACTACCTGATACATATTGTGGTAAAATGTCTCAATTATGCACAATAATTATGTTTACATTTTTTGTTGTAATATTTGTGAAGTATTTACTTTAACTTGAGTGGTAAATTCATATGCGTCAAAGCATTTTATGTCCGCCTCCTTCAGCTTGTAAGCATATAACATAATATTCATCGTTATCAGCCGTGTTTACCGTTGTAAAGAAAAAATACAAACATTTATTCATTCCTGATGCAAGATGTTCCTTTTATGTCAAATACATTACACAAACCTTCGCATCTCTGACCTGTATAACCTTCTTTGCATGTGCACCAATACGTATTGATGCCGTCTACGCATTTTCCCTTATTCTCACAAGGGTTCGAGACACATTCGTTGGTTTCTGGAAAATTACCAAGCATAATAAGCTTATAAATACTTCTAGACAGATTGCATGAAATGGCAATTAATTGGTAACAGGAAGACACTACTTAACCATAAATTAACAGAAAGTGATAAGCTTTTGTCACCAGCCTGCTTCCGAGTAGTCTAGATCTGCATCTAGATAGTTTTTTTTATTATTTTTACAATCTTTGTATCTCCCTTGTCCAAGTGACATCCATGTTGTATTATGGTTGTTTATTTATTTTTTTATTATTTATTTATTTTTAATTTATTTTATTTTTTTTTTTTGGGGGGGGATTTGTAACGTAATAAAAAACAAAATATGTAAAAGAATGATAAAATGATTATTGTATTCATACTAGGCCTAATACATGTATTACCAATAAGTAAAAGATTTTTGTATTTGTTGATAACTTTTTGTATATTGATATTGTAATAAATTCTTTAAATGGAGTGATCCAAAGAATATAGATCAAGCTTATATACATGTAATGTCGGATTTGAATACTCAAAAAAGTATTTTGAGTGAGACAATATCGATAGATAAAAAAGTGTATTGCTTATATCTTTCGCAAACACCCTGTTTTTAATTTTCTCTGAATAAAAAAGAAAAAAAAAACAACATGAACTAGAAGATACATAAATATCGCTACGTGTTTTATTTACCATTCTCGCAATTGTCACCGTAGTATCCTCGTTTACAGACGCACGAATATTCATTACTTCCATCATTACACCATGCGCTTTTAGGACACGGGTTAGATTCACATTCGTCAATATCTAATAAGAGATAACAAGCAAAGTATTAAATATTTACTAAATGGTCACGATCTGGGCACGTGGCATTCTTGACTTCGCTGAATATATACTGGATTATAACACTTAATAAAATATCTGTCGCAATCTCGACATGTGGCGTAGTTGCTTCGCTGAACATAATATCTACAGTTAAACATTACAAATTTCTAACGAATTTGATAAATTCCAAATGTTCTGTACAAATTGTTACTGTAAACCCACAGGTCACACAAGAAATGTTATGTTTGTATTCAATATCACCAATTGCTACTATCAACTAGTTGCTTTGCATGAAAAATATTGCTTATATCTTTTGTTAACAATTCTTAAAATGTTGCCTTAAACCTTAAATAAGTAGCTTAATTAATGCACAATGGTTTCCTTAGTGTTAACTTTCTAACTTTAATTACGGCGTAAACGGTTTTCCATCCTTTAAAATACGCGCGAGAACAAAATGGCACCCAGTGATCGTGTCAAAAATAGCTGAAATTAATCACTTTAGCTAACATTACATTTTCTGATCTATGACTTCCAGAAAAAAACAAAGTTTAAGCCTATTTATACGAAATCTGCAACCGCAACCCAAAACAGCGTAAAAGATGGCTGGTCAACCCAGAAAATGGCTGCCCAAAATTGTCTGCCAGCAACCAAAGTTCATCCAAGGAAATGATTAATCACCCGTACAATTGGATGCAGTCTAAAAGGGTACAGAGACTGATTTATAACAAATTATGATTATCTCTGCAAAGTTTATACTACTGGTTTAACGTAGAAATTATACAACAGTGTCACGTACCTATAATGATTATCTCTGATACATAGTCAAACTTTCAATACAACAATACATTGCGTACAACATGGCGCCTATGTAAAACGACTGACATGTACAGAAAGTTTAAATATTTTGCGTTAAATACATGCATTTAAATCAAGTAACTCAGTTCAAAGGAAGCATAACGTGTTTGTGTCATTAGGGAAATTTTGCTTCGTCACATTGTTTAATGAATTATGCAAGGAAATAAACAAACAGATGAAAATATAAATGTCCAAACTAATCGGATACCTATTTAAACTGAAATAAAAGATTAACAGGGATCTCTACAAACATGTATAGGCAAAACTAGTATACGAGTATAAGCTGCTTGCATGAGTGTATGTATTTTCATTCTATAGCGAAATATGGCTCATCTTGTGTTTTATAGCTGGTTACATTACCAAACATGTGTTTCAAGAATCAATGAAATGTTTCTATAAGCTTACGTGTCAGACTAAAGGTGAATACGTATACATGACATTAACTTGAAGGCTCTACAATATTATCTCTTAACCCAAATATCAAAAGTGAGATAATTTACAAAAATGTGCCAATCAATCTTTTTCAATATGAAGATAATTACCAACAATCATCGACATAATTATTACGAGAGACAATTACGAAAAAAGTAGATCCAATACCTTTATTATCTAAATGGATATAATCGCTAGAATAGTCAAATAATATAAGTAAGTAAATAAGTAAAATGTTTTTTTAATGGTGAATACATGTATGTTGTTGTTTTTCTATATGTGTCTGATATAAAAGGTTAACCTTTATACGTCAATAATTTTCAAACAAGATGGTAAACTCAAAAGAGTATTTCAATAGACTAAGCTATATCAGTACGCGTATAGTAAAGAGGGAAATACTAACACTCCGAAAAAGATTTATATTTTGTGGGTTTTTATGCGTTTCTATACACATTATGCGAAAGGGGAAAAAATAAGAAATATAACCATTTAATCATTTAATTTATATTTAAGAGCAAGTTTGATTTACCTGTCTCACATAGATCCCCTGTGAAGCCATCTTCACAGTTACACATGAACTTATTTTTACCTTGAACACACGACCCTCCGTTTTTGCATGGATGTGAAGAGCATTCACCACTATTTTTGACAAGAAGTCCTGAAAAAAGCAACACAGACAAAAAACAAGTGATTTGATTTAGCTGAAAAAAAAAACCTTGAAGGCGACAAAGTCATGCCATATGCGGCTCTCGATCAAACATAAAAATAATATACATGTGTATTTTAAAGAGAAAACCATGTTTATGCATCTAAGACAGTTGTCAAAATGAACTTAAAGGATATACCAGCAACATGTCCTTAAAATTAAACAAATTGTTGAAAACACTAATATTGTATATGTAAAATTGAACGAAACAACACAACTGTCGCAAAAATGAGCAATCTTGAACAATCGAAACATAAAATGTTATTCAGAATAAGAAATATAGAGGTAGATAATAACAGCGACTTGTCTTGTATATACTTGTTTTCATTTTGGCATAAATCACCAGTGAACCTTTCCGTGCATTTGCATGTAAAACCGTTGATACCATCAAAACATCTTCTGCCATTTTTACAGGGGTTCGATAAACGTTTGTTTTACATCTAGATAAAAAATTCGAATCGCTTTAAATGATAAGTCACAAATATATCAAAGAGCCACAAGCAGATAAATTTCCTTGATCCTTCGTGAATTGGAAGTTACTGCCTAAACCTCAGGAATTCGGCGTGTGTCAAAATTTATAATGATCACCACTCCCCTCTCCCACCATCCCATACGCTACAACCCTCTTATGACAAAAATATAAAAAATATTATTTCTTGAATTTACAGAATGAAAAAATAGGACTATATACACTGACAAGGTATGTTACTCCATATGTTCATGCCTTGATTTAAAAGTCACCGTGTTCTTGAATATGGACAATATTCAAAATTCAAGGTCCAAATGATGATTATATTATTTCTATATTCATCCCCACCCTCTTTTTCATCGACATTTGAAACAAAGTCTAGCACTGAATTATTAAAAAACTCAAAACCTTTTAAAGGACAAACTATTGCCTCGATGTTTAAATTGTGGTGATTATTGCCCTAACAAAAACATAATGGTGTTTGACCTGGTGAGATGGGACGTTCCAGCCTTCAATGTCATTTAACATCTTGGTTTCCAGTTGAGTGGGCTCAGATTAATCTATCTAATTGCATTAAAATACCCAAAACCTTTTAAAGGACAAACTATTGCCTCGATATTTAAATTGTGGTGGTTATTGCCCTAAGAAAAACATAATGGTGTTTGACCTGGTGAGATGGGACGTTCCAGCATTCAATGTTATTTAACATCTTGGTTTCCAGTTGAGTGGGCTCAGATTAATCTATCTGATTGCATTTGTGTGTCAAAGTATCCAAAGAACTTGAAGAGATATGTAAGTTTTTTATACCATAGTAGATTAACTATGACATTTAATTTTTTCTATTGAAAACGCAAATAAAATAAAATCTTTGCAATCTGACGTACATCCGCAAGTATGCCAAAAAAAAAGAACTGTGTCGTTTTTCTACTTTCTCACTAATTTTATTTCGATGTCGACCATTTTTGATGACGATTTTTAAAAATTCTGTACGATTTCGCGGTCCGTTTCGAAATAGGATTGGCTGCGATTTGTTAATTGGGGAGGTGTGTCGATCGTTTCTAGTATGCAGTTAGGCAGTTGTTTGTAAATAAGAACAAGTTATCTTTACGTTCTATAGCAGAGGTTATTTAAAGGTGTCTTCAGAAAAAGTTTTTGCAGACAGATAATTCTAGGAATTTTCATATATATTCACACACAAAATTACAGGAGTTTTGTGGCGTAAATACATGTCCTTGCAAATTAGTAAAATTACATTTCCATGCCAAATAAATTTGTCTTTCTTGTAGAACCATCCATAGTTTCTACATGCATACAGTAGGGTGAACGTTTCGGTTGTCAAAAATAGCGATTTTCGTGCGTCCGTTTTTCTTGCAACGTGCGTGCGTATATTGTGCAACGTGCGTTTGATGAAGGGCTTTCTCAAGCGTTCATCGTTTACAAGCGTTTTACGTAAACTTTATCGTTTTCCGTGTATTGTTTGTCGTTTATCGTGCGTTTGAGAGCGTGCGTTTGCTATCGTTTAGCGTGCGTGTGCGTCCGTTTATCGTTTGGTCCAGAACGGTCTGCTTCTCTCATTAGTTTAGAACATATAGTCTTAGTGAAATGATGGTAAACTTAAAGTGATATTATATGTCAGGAAATCTTTTCTATAAATCACATAAATTTAGTGTTGTTATTTCTAACATTCGATCTAGTTTTTGACCCTATGATGAAGTTTCATGAACACCGTACATCGACGCGCGTTACTCACACATAGATTTAGCCCTTGTCTTGAAAATATGTTTTTTTTGGGCTGCCGGTTTGCAATGTATGTTTTCTTTTTATTTAAAAATGTCATATTAATTCCGTTCGCTTATGTGTATTTGACTTAATGATTTAATCGTTGATTTACTTAAGTTTCTACCATTCCTTTATTTTTATTTACGCCGGAAGCAGTGTCGACATTATAAACGTCTATCGGCTAAAGAAAAATATTTTTCAGAAATACGCATAAAGATTTTTATATTAGCGCATGATAGCTTATAATTTTAAAAATCATTTGTTAAGGCTGCACGACAAAAATAATTGTGTGCCAGGTTGAGTGCATAACAACTGTAACATAAACATAAACCCGTTTAAAATACATGTCTAGCTATCAATTAAAACAAATCGCTAAACGATCTAGCTAATTAAGTTGTTAAAATCTTAGATGATAAGGATATTTTATTAAAAATTTAGAAATGTTTTTATTTTGCGTGCGTTTTTGCGTGCGTATATCGTTTAGCGTAAATCGTTTTGAGTGCGTCTGCGTATTTCGTTTGGTAAAACGTGTGTGTAATTCATTCGCGTAGCGTGTAACGTGCGTGCATTTTTGGCATTCATGAAACATTTTCTCTCCCATATCAATTAAATTCTGAGCCGTTGTCATATCCAAACACATTACTGTTAATTTGATAAAAAAAAGAAAACAATGTCTGGTACATTTGTAAGTCCCTTGAAGATGGTAAATAACCTTTGATATTGAAAAATGGGGAAAAATGTATTGTTCTACTGAAAGCTTCTAACAATCAATCAAAACAATTTACAAATCATGTCATTGCTAATCAAATGTTATTCGTATGTACCTTATTTTGTTGACACTGAAAGAAATTTACTGAATTCATCTTTAATCTTCTTTAGCCTTTTCGGACCGCCAACGGCCATGTCTCTTAAATAAACGACCGAAATAAGTCGCAGCTGTAGCAACGCCTGATCGAATGCAATAAATGCCAAAGTTTTTCTTGTCTTGACCAATTGCAGAAAACATGTTAATAAGTATAATTTCGCTTACCCTTGTATAAGACAATTTCTTTTAATTTATAAGAATTTGCGGGTTTACAATAAGACACTGAACGGAAAAATATCGTTCGAACCATCTGTTATTTTATTCATTTCTATATATCTCTGTAACAAAATCGCCGGACATGTCTTTTTTCCAGTCCTAGCAATAATACAGTTTTTACCTTCATAATTTATGTCCGTTTTGCTTGACCATAAATAAATAGAAACATAATCCGGAAAACAACTGAAAATCTGATCGTCTTTGGTCACTTAACGCAGAAAATTGTAAAAACCCTGCATAAGCTACAAAACACATATTACATAAATTACTAAAATACATTAAATTTGAATCTTCACTTCCAAACTTGTCCATAAGTTTATTTAACATGTAAGGAGTCAAAGATTTTTTTTACTACACAGAATGTCTCAAAATCCAGTGTGCGGCTTCTCTGACTGATTGAACCCAAGTTATATCACAAGGATTAGAACAAACACCGGACCCATTTTACTAAAATAATATTCTTCATCAACAGAAACTGGATAATTTGATCTTTGAATAACTCATATGAGTTATTAAGCTAAATTCAAATCGCTAGCTGGTATAGATTCGACACCGTCTTTTCTTGCACAAAAACAAAACTTTCCAAGAACTCTTTGTACGTTTCCACAATGTCAGAAGCCTTAGATTTCAATATCAAATTTGGTAATTCAGCAGCCAAGGAAGACAACTCCGGATCTTGAAAATCATTTGTATTGATTTTCAAGCGATCAGGTCTATAAATGTTTAACACGAACAATAAAGTGCGTGCTTATAAACACTATGTTAACACAATTTGTAATTCAAAGTACACTGTTTAATAAACAAATTTTAAGCAACGATATTAGCTATGCAAAAATGTTCAGTCTACCTGTCTATGACTTTTCCTCTTTCAACCATAAACAAATAAAACAGTAAACAACATATTTCAACTACCAACCTGTCCAACGAAGAATAACATAAACCTCTGATTATTCATTCATGCATCGATCAACCGATATAAACACTCACGAAACATCACTGCAGTTGAAGAAAACATTTAACCGTTATAAATACAATACGTTATAAAGTTAAATTTATTTATCATTGGTCTTTAATATAATATGACTTTTCGGTCACTGTGGACAGCGCAGCTGTATTTTAGCTGTCCACCAAGCGTATCGATGCGTAAGACTGGTCAATATATAAGGTGTATGCACACGGGTATTTGACCATTCGAGGTGCCATAGGTTCACTACACACAGACGTAATTTCACGATAGTAATGGAAGATAATGAGCAACGTGGCAATGAACACGTTGAATTTAGATCCAGAGAAAGTTTAACTCGTGACAGAGAACAATATTCGCCTTCGAGAACTTCAAGAAGCAGACGAAGTATTTCACCAGAAGTTAGAAGGAACCCGCCAATAGGCAAAGTGAGTTTCAATCGGGAGATAGTCGAGAAGGACAGGAGCGTTCCAGAGATAGACGAGGTAAGTCCCCGGGGGAAGGGAACGAAGTTTTTCAAGCCTTTCATTTATTTAGAAGTTATTTTGATTCTCGTTTGTCTGACTTGAAGAGTGATATAACTTCTCAAAGTTTGAAGTCTAAAGTTAAAAAAGTAACTTTGAATAAAGAGTCGCATAGAATTCAACACTATTTTAACC